GTAAGGCTTTGCAGAGACCAAAACCAGTGGGAATTGGAGAATTGCATAGAAATTCTTAAGTTCTGGTAAGAGGTCTTGTCACTGTTCTTAAGTTCTTGAGTTCGTATCTCTTTGGGCTCATCACTGGGACCATGTCTTTGACCCACAGCCCAACCTGAATAGATGCGGATGCCCGTAGGCCACCACTTCAACGGTGAGAAGCAGGTAGATGAGTTGGGCAAAGTCAAATTGCTTGGGTCCATCTTGTGGAAGAGCCATCCCAGTGCAAAGGTACATTGGATGCCATCTTGGGTGAAGTCAAATTTATTGAATTGACTTGGAAGAGTTCTCCCAGTAGACTTCCACTCAAATAGAAGAAACATGTTTGGAGATGTTCATTACATTGTATAATAATTTTATATATTGCCTACATATGAGAGATGGCCACTGGACCAAACTGCAAATCTGAGATAGAACAAGGGCCTTGAACAAGGGTTTGAAGGACGCCACAATTGCTATTATTACATGATATTACATGTTTTATGTTGTTTTTATGAAAGTTCCAGCTCCACGTCTTCCATCGTGAAACTCGCTATTGGGTGCAAAGAACATTGGACCTCACTGCTTTGTGTAGAAGACCTATCTGCCTGAGAACCTGAGGGCCTACCACAGGAGCACCCCCTTCTGGTTGTGTTGGTGACCCCCACAGTATGCCAGGTGGCAGGGCCTTTTTCGGCCGGGAAGAAGTAGACCTGTGCAATGATGACATGGGGATACAATGTATTCAACCCCTTCGCGGACAGGGTTTCATTCACTTTAACAGAAGTCAATGGCCAGAGAAGTAGGGCTAGCCTGGAAGCCTAGAAGTTCTTACTTGTTGCCAACCAGTACAACTTGCCAGGAGTTTGCCCAAATAGACACCAATCAAGGCCAGATCTGCTTGAGCTTATATAAGCATTTCTGAGAAGCTGAAGGATTTTGGCGGAACTCCCACCCTGCTATCAAGCGTGCAACGACCGCATGAAGAGCATACGGACATGGAATATGCTACGGAACTAGGGAAAAGCACGTGTCAAAAGTTCTCCTGATCATGGGTCATATCACCCTGTTCCTGCACTATTCATAACAAAACTTGGCCTGGCAATCAATTTTCGATTGGAGGTCCATGACCCAGGTAGCCATTTAGGTATCACTGTATATTGGAATAGGAAGACGTGATGTCTCCAGCCCCGCAACCCATATGCATGTTGTAATGTGTTGTATCTACCATGATCTACCGATATCTAACGTACACCCTACACTCCTGACAAGGATTTCCCGACAGGATGGTCCAGGTATAGACTCCAGACGTTCTGTCGCCGGGGCGGGGCTCTCGCCCGCCATGGGGCGCTCTTTAGTCGCCAGGAGAGCACCTTCCATCGGGTGATCCCTGACTTCATGTGTCAAGGTGGGAGGAGCCGCGTGGGGGAGGAGACCGGATTGACCTGATGGACCCAAATTGTACATGTTTGTGGGTCAAAGTAGTAGCACTTCTTACTAGTAGCGATGCCTTTGTTTTCTAATAGCGAGCTTCTTGTTACTACTTAGTAAGGCACTTGTTACGAACGAAGCGATGCACTTGTTACGCTACAGACATTCACGTCTTTGGTCTCAGGCCAAAGCTTGCAACGCCGTGGAATGCCGCCCGAATGGCCGGTCTGTTTCTCTTGATCAGGATACCTTTGTTGGGTTCGCAAACGGCATATCGACCCATCTTATGGTCACAGCCCATGGCCCATAGTAGGAAGGGTTCCGAGCATCTTGCAAACAGCTTTGACTAAGGTGTAGCCGGTGTAGCCCTGCAAACCAGCTTGTACCGGGGACGCGACGAGAGGTGGTGACTTCACAAACCACAACGGCACAGGCTGGCTGCAGCGTCGGGTGTGCAGTGCTGGTGTCATAAAGTTGCGCAAGCAGGAGGTATTTGTTGAAAAACATCTCGTAGCTGATAGTCTTCAGATGCTCGCTAGATTTGGGTAGATAATTTTGAATGAGTTAGGACAGTTGTTTGGACTAAGAACAGAACGGCTGGTTGTGCCCCTGCATTTGGACTGGATTTCCCCTCGTCACGCGTCGCTAGAAAGGCGATGACCTGCGAGGTATGTTCTATGGGCGTTCCGACAAGACAGCCCTTTGTGCTGATTTATGCCTGCAGTTTCATAAGTGTTATAGCAGAATCCACCTATAATACCAATCCTAGGGTTTGGTATTTCAAGTCAAGTCCTTGTTTTTAAGCAAACACGTGCATGTTTGGGTCCAAGTGAAAAGAATTGTGTTTCACATATATATGCAATGTTCTGATTTTAGTTGGCAGGCTCGCCATGCCGTAAAACGTACATGAGTGTTCAAAACATGGATCAGTATGGATTGAATGGATCAAAGCCCCGCTGCAGCGGGCCAATGTGAGGGCAGCGCACCCCTGCAACCGTCTGACCTCTGAGAATTGAGGACAGTTCGTTTTAATCCAAAAACACAGTTTTCTTCTAACATCTTTGTGAAACCTCTACAAGGACTCAGTCTATACTGCACAACCTGGAGTAGCTATTTAGTGGCATGCGTATGGGCTATATGTTTGTTGCCTTTGTGACGACACTCTCCTGTGGTGCTTGTGTTTGCACGATTTGTGGACCTTTTCTTGTCATAATCAAAAAAATCAACAAGTTGTTGCGTTAGAGGTAGACTCGACTTGCAATGTGCAACCATATCTCCATATCTCAGGAGCTTCCCTCATTGTCTTAACTGCAGTGTTCGGACGACCAATTGGTGCTTCCAACACGCTCGGTGAGTCCTTGCAGGTGGCAAGTCCATCTACGGGGAGAAGTTCGAGGACGAGCCATGGCAGCCATGACAGCACCAGTCTGTTAGAAACAGCGCCAGTCTCTCTCCGGGCTTTGATGGACAGACTCTGCAGTTTTTTTCTGTATTTTTCAGTAGAGCAACACAGCTCCGAAGAATGCCAGGTGTTCAGTTGTGGTTTCTCAAACAACACCGAGCATTTTGCCTTAAATGTTCAAGAGTTAACGCATAATGAGGTTCCCTGCCAAGGTGCTTTGCATTCCACAGATTTGTTGGCTGGGTGCAAAGAAAGCTCGACTCGACCTCGACAAACATTTCGAGGAATGTTGTGAGAACCATTTTTTTTGATATTGGCCAGTTCCCTATAGCCTATACCCTTTGCTTTGCACCCTTCCAAAGCCCCGGTTCGAGCTCCTCGGCCTTGTGTAACATGATGTAAAAACATGATGTAACAGCAAAAAATATGGGATTTGGCGGATTTGGTGAGAAGACATTCTACACAGAATGACCCCAATGGCCTCAAACAGACCGTATAGACTTGACCCTTCTTCAAGCTCACCATATAAAAACCCTCCGAGGAAGGCTTCCAGCTAGAGCACACTGGACCTGGTGTGCTGTCAATGGCCAACGCGGGGCCCAACACCAACGGTTCGCAGTTCTTCTTGTGCCACTGGGCCATGCGCGAGCTCGCGATCTTGGGCCATGCGCATCGCGTTCGGCGGTCACCACGGGGGTTCCGGTCCGCCCTTTGGGGATCCGCCGATCTGGCGACGTGCGATGCAGCGATGAGACTTCACCCCGCAAAAAGAAGGGATCCCTTCAGATGGCTGGGAGCTTCTTCAGTCGATAGAGAGGTGGAATCCATTGGAGTTGGGTGATGAGACGCCTGGAAACCGGACGTCAGATGGGCGAAAGCCAGACCATCTCAGCGCTGGCGCCAGACCCACTGATCAGCCAGACCCAACCTGTCCAAAAGGTGCAGGGTCTTTGGGTGCCTAAACCACTTCGACGCGGGGAGTTCGGAGGAACAAAAACGTGGACTCTAAGTGACTCCAAGTGACGTGCCGCAGCACGAGAAACCGTCGTCGTATCTTAAGGCACGACGAAAACCTCGCACCTCGATGGGAAGCATGTGGTCTGGGGCCTCAAGCTGCGTTCGGTCGACACTTAGACAGCGCGTCACAGCGCGGCTGTTTAATCCCTAGGGCTCCTGGCCCACCTCCTGAGAAGATGGTTGGGGTGGGTTTTGGGGGTCTAACCACCGAACCTGAGGATATGATTGGAGCCCTAGGGAATGTAGACTCTTGATTGATAGCCCCAAAAGATTGGGGTTCTACATTACTTCGTTCGCGCGGTCTTCCGACCTCGGCCATAAATGCGGGTTATAAGCCTTCCCGGTTGGGGCGACGTCGACATAGGTTTTGGTTGATAGGTCCCGTTTGGGCTCCTGGCTCACATCCTCAGGTTTGGTGGTTGGATTTTTCTGGCACCCACCCCAACCATCTTCGAAACCGAGGTGGGCCAGGAGCCCTGGGGGTTTACCATTTTTCTAGAGGACTTTGGAGGGTCCAGGGCCTCGCAGGTAATTATATAGGTCAGGTTTGACCGGCCGTCCAATTTTAGAGTCATTGAAATCAAATGATTCCCTATTGTAGGGGTGACCCGTCGTGGGTGTAATCATGGAAAGACCCGTGAGTAAGGTGTGGCAGAATTTATTGTAGTCCCGTATGCAGGAGTTTGCAGTGGCATTGTCAAACCTTACAGCCCATCTTGAGCACATGCAAGTCACAACTGGCCAGCAAGTCGCAACTTGGATGAGCGACACTATAGGCTTTCTCGGTGGACTCTAGGAGAGCGTCAAGGTGCTCCAAACTCCACGGTGTAGCGTTTGAAAGCTGTGCCGAGCGAGAGCCAAAGACGAACATGAGGCTGAGGGTTGGGAAAATGGGTAGGACATCCAGACCTCTTGGGGGATTGCAGCCCATGTTTGTTACACTCCTCATCTCAGATAGTGTTGTGTGGTGCAGATGATTTAGGGCAAAATCTGGCAAGCACGAGGACCAAAAGGCTTCATGTCCAAAATAGAAGCAATCCACCTACTAGTCTATATAGTTCACAAAAGCATCCCATTCGCGGCCTGGCGCCTGCTTGAGCTGTCAGACTCACATTCCCGGATTCCGCACCAACCTATAGGTCGTCCCTCTCAGATGGCCTTCTTCTCCCCGATTCGACTGAAGACCGACACAACCCGACCGACTCAGGTCTTTGGCAAGGTGGTGGAAGGTTACGAGGTCGTGCAGAAGATCGAAGGCGTTGGATCCGGTTCGGGCAGCCCGACCGGCGCGCGCGAGGGAGGGGAGCGGGCCGTGACCGGCGTGTCATGATCTGGTAGGTTGGCCTAAGGGGGGGGAGGGGAGCGGATCAATGTGCGACGTGTCTTCGGGAGGTAGATGAGGTTTTGCAGGAACTTTCACATGGAACCGCATTGACAGAATTGGTAAGTCCAATTCCTGTTTCAGCTGCAGATTGAATTCCTGCGCCGGAATTCTTGAGAATAGAAGCCGGAATTCTTGATGGCAGCATTCAACCCCGCTTCTATCCAAAAGGGTCGTATATGCTCTCACTCACATTGAGCTGAAAACACGCCGATGCTTGCGTGAGATCAAGGCACGAGGACCCCTGACCACCCTGCAGGCCCCCCTGGGTGCTTCTTGTTGGCCCCAACCCGGGGGCCCCTCCGGTGTCTTATTGTCGTTCCCAACCCGCCTTCGGCACGGATGAGGACGAAGCTCACCCCCGGGGCCCCCGGACGGAACCACGGTGCCCAGGCAGTGGAACTACGTCCAAGAAGGCGGAGGGACGGAGGGACGGGGGAGACACAGAGCTGGGTGGAGCGGTCACAGCGGTCACAGCCGTCGCGCCGGTGAAGCGTTGTTCGGTTGTCGCGGGTGAAGACAGGTTGGGAAGATGAGGTGCTCAAGGTACTTGTTGAGAGATGGCTTGTTAAGATGTTGGTGTGGGCCTGGGGTCATGGGAAAGATGGAGACAGGAAAGCAAGGCTTAGTAGTGCAAGGACTGTTCCAATCTGAAATTATATCCTTCGGGTATCTTCGGGTTGGTGATGGTCAATTCCAAGGAAGAGCTAAGGGAGGGTGTCAAACTGCCGACGCATGATGTGGACTAAGCTGTCGCATTGCGTTGGGGTTCAGAGAGCCACTAGAGCTAGGCAGCAATCAAAGGCCATCTAATTACTCAGCTATTTCTACAGAGGACTCACACAAGTGGCCATTGTCCCACCAGCCCTCACACATGAGGCTATTCCCTAGGGATCCGTTTTCGTACCTTCTCAGGTACGGTGATGTCTTCGCTGTTCGACGAGACGGGGTTTGGAGGGTGCAGTCGTACCGAACCTGAGGAGGTTCGGTACGACTGGATCCCTATAAGGATTGTGCGTTCTTGGCTCCACTCGCACGTCTTGGCTCCACAGCGACTGCCGCGTGTGGGTCCTGCACGACGACGCTGTTCTTCGCAGGTGGTCATCGCAGACTGCGGGGAGCTGCCCCTCAAAGACTGGCCCAAGGCAAGACGCGAGACCCGGGGGTCCCTCCTCCCGGAGGAGGAGAGGATGGAGGACATGACCAAGGAGGAGAGGGCCAAGCAGCGAGGGTGGAGGTTTGGATAGTGTTTTGGTGGGAGTGTTTAGTGTGTGAGACCCGATGGCTGTGGGAGGGCAACAGACAAAAGAATCCTCCAACATTCAGAGGCAAAGTCTCAGTATTCAGCTGGTAGAGACTTATAGTGTAATAGACTTAATACGTGGGATTTGCTGCTTGTTTTGCAGGCACTTGCGTTCAAAGGCGGCCATTCTAGAGGTGGCTTCAACATGATTCGATGGTGGCTTCTGCGACTGCAAAGGTGTTGCTGACCAAACTCGAGGGAACGGAACATATACCTTGATCTTCCAACTATGCAGAATGTGTGCTTTTTCATCTATAGAACCATGGTAGGCACCAATTCTGCATGGTTGGAAGATCCATGGTATTGCTGAACCACAGGCAATGCATTTTGTCAGCACTAGCCGTGTTTGCATGCGTTTGTGCTGTCCTGTTATTTTGGGCCAGGCGGACAAGTGACGAAAGCGCCAGGCGTGGCTGAGCGCCAGCAGACTAGGATGTGGCAGAAGGACCTGATCACTGATGGGGAATCTATTTATCTATCATTATCTATCCATCTATTTATCTATCTGTCTATCTATCTGTCTTAACTATTATATACATAATATTAAAGATATGTATATATATAACTATATATTTCTATCTATCTATCTATCTATCTATCTCCATGTAAAAGGAAGCGGTTCAAGCCATCCAAACAAGATGACTGAACATACCGCAGCTTTTGGATCTAAGTCTGTGACTCAGCAGGCCCTGATGGACGGCAGTATTCAAGAATGTTGGGTATGTTTTCTTCTAATCGTTTTGAGCCATTGGTCAATTCCACTGGTTTGCATTTGTACATGCCCAGAGTCGTATGATCCCAGTACCTACAAGCTAGACCTTTCCGTGTTGGGATTGTGCACAGTAACAGTTGATAAACAGTAACAAGAGTATCAGTATGTTAGCTGATTTCTTACCGATCATGGTCATAGAGATAATCATCACCACCCTCCCCATCCCCATCCCCATCATCATCATCATCATCATCATCATCATCATCATCATCATCATCA